TCTGTCTTAGATCATCTAGTTCATAATTTCCAATAGCTGACTTATCTCTACACTGTTTTCAGGTGCTTTGTTTAGTTTAGTTGCAAGTATATCAGGCAATGAGTGTTTTGTACCACTTCCCATACTCCACAATTGAAGAGATCCCATCCCCAGGAAAACCAGAATGTTTCTTAATTTCATCCCATGACCCCAAATTATACTGTACTCCCTTTACCATTTGAATGGGGTACTAAGATTCTTCTACTGAATTCATTAACACTTGGAAACCTGGTGGGAGAGGATGTTGAATTCCTCCTTAAAGGTGGTAAGACAGAAGGCTGGGTTTGGGAACAGAGGATAGAGGGGCATCCACAAGAACTTTAGAAGCAGCCAATTTTTGACCAATTTTATATTCTTGTAACTTCAGTTACTGATAAAGCCTAAGTCCTGGAAAGAGAGTAAATTTGGACTAAATCCAGTAGGTAGACTATAGTTTATTTCTGGAACAGAATTAAGAAATCTGTCTGCTTAGTCATCCCAAACAGTTCCTTTTTACAGGAATTCCATCCTTCAGATAAATGCAGATGGTTGCAACTAGGTCTCCCAGTAGCACAAACTGGGCTGAATTCTTCCCTGACTCTACCTGTAAAATTTGCAATCTGACACTTTGATCCATGTTTTTAATTAGTCATCAATCCATGTCCTGCTGATGGCTGATAAAAAAATCTTCTGATGAAGCTATAATCCTAGAAAAGTTCTAGGAACATAGCCTGCCTGTAAGAGAAGGCTGAGAAGTATGCAGATGAAAGTTTAGGCTTTATATCATACGCACTACATTACTATACAGATCAATTAAAAACACTAAGTCCGCTCTGCATTGTAGAAAACAGAATTTTTTCAGCAAATCTAAAGCTTGCATAAGAAGAGGTCCATTTATTTGGAAAAAAAAATCAACAGTCACTGGCTTAAAAAAGAAGGATTGGAGTAATTTAACACTGTAATGTTGGCCAGGATGGTAGGGAGGACTTTCCACCTAGGTTTTGCCAAATTCTTTCAAAGAAAAAAAAATTTCTGCTCCCAATCCTTGCATTATTACTCGCATGAAGTACTGTTGCTTTCACGACAAGGTGCCATGTCACTGAGATCATGAAGTCTTCCTTTGCTCAGTGAATAAGCAAATGGTATTATTTTTTCAAGTAATATCAAAACAGAACAAGTTGGGTCAGCAGCATCGCCTATTCATTTGTGTAGTCTGCTTTCCAAGTTTGATTGCTCCATTGTTACCATTTTCATGAGAGTCCAAGGGTGGGATTTGTCGACCTAAAACATATAAAGTAAATGTTGAAATACCTTAATATCTGTGTGTATTTATGTATTAGTAAGGAATGACATGGTTTTCATTAAAATCAATTTCAATATGCAATAACTGTTTTCCATAAAGCTTTTATCCATATTTTAGATTTGCGTACATAAAAGGAAGCTGTGGCCAATTAACACACAAGCACAGGTTGTCTATATGATGACATTTAGAAAGCACTGTAACACTTCAGTTATCTTAGCTTCTTCAGCAGGAAAAAATCTTTTTATTGAGAACTCCTAAGAATAATTCCAGTTGAATATGTCAGGTCTAGCTGAGCAAAACCTTAAATTACCTATGTATCCCATACTAGTGTTTCTTCTACCCCAGAACTCTCCAAAACCTACAGGCACTATAAAAAAGCAAACTAACTGAAAAAAAGCAACAAAATGATTCCTTTAATTGAGTCCTCTCCTCCAGATCTTGATCCCTTAATTTGCCCAGTTGATGGGCTGGCTTGTCAAATAAGGCCAGGGTCCTAACTCATACATCAGGATTTGGGAATGTCATTCAAACTTGTGTGAACAAACTACATCCTTAGTGGGGGTGGAGGGGTATCATGATAACACGGAGAAAGGACTGCTCTTCTAAATCTCCCCCCTATATACCTTTTCTGCCCTGTTGTGGCAAGTCCATTCATAACATCTGACAAAGTAGGCTGCTGCATACAAAAGCTTATGCATTCCTGATCATGTTAGTCTAGTGGCGCTCAACCCATCTGGCCCCATGGGCTGGACAAGTGGCCTGGGTCTGGGTCCACAGGTCAGAACCTGTGCAGAGTAGGTCCATGGGTACAATCCAGTGTGTGGGCTGGCCCCACGTCAACCCAATCCCATGCATCTGATCTAGCCAAAGACAGACCCTATGCGCCAGATCCAGCCATGGAAAGACCCGCGCGGCAGCTCAGCCTCATGATGTGGATCCAGCTGCAGACTGACCTGATGGAAAGGTTGAGGTCATCTGGCTTATACCTCACCCTGTAGGGCTCTCCACAGGCCTGGAAATTTGGCAGCAGGGGACCAGTGGCAATATTAATTGCTAATAAATGCTGCCACCACTCCCCTGATGCCAAATTTCCAGATCCATGGGGAGCCTCACAGGCTAGATCACATGGCTCAGTGGGCAGGATCTGGCCTGTGAGCTTGAGGTTGAGCACGGCTGTGTTAGTCTGTAAGGTGTCACCCTGTCTTGTTTTCTGTTTTGTTGGCCTTCTTTACTTGGGTCATACATAATACACCTAATAATATGTGGCCATTACTGCTGCAGGCTTATCAGGAATAACTAACATTGAAACAATGGGGTCTAGAATAAGACAGAGCTCAGTTCAACCTCATGCACTAGTGTAGTATTGGGTTTTTTTGTGCATCTTGCATGGTATTTTTCAAAGCTTGTAGGACTGTCACCTTACTCTCTCACACCCTAGGGGTTTTAAGTTGAATCATTTTCCTAAGTCAAAACTACATTCTCCCCTTTTCACATTTCTCCTGGTCATACCAGGGTAATTAAATGGCTTTAAATAACAACAACTAAAGTATTTAACATTCACATGTAATATGGCAGTTTCAGAGAACCTAAAAGCCTGTTCCCTTTGAGAAGGTTACAATCTAAATAGATATTACAATCTAGATTTCTCCCTTTCCACCGAAGGATTTCCACAGTTGTTTCTTACACGTTCTTTCAATTATGCACATAAAGGCCTCAACCCTGCTAAGACTTGATATATCAGAGAACTAAAGATTACTATCAAGTCAAAAGTCCATCCAAACTAAGTAGCCAACAGCGGTAGCATGGTAATGGCATATCAGTTTCTATATCTAGTGGCAGAGGCAAGGGAGTGATATGGCTAGTGTGTTATCTGGCCACCTTTGATTCTCCATTCTCACTAAAGACTCATGAATAGCAGGGTCACCTGGGGGCAGTTTTCAGCCCAAGTCTGGAACAGCCGTCAACCTTACATCTTTGGAACTGTAGCAGGATATCTTTACTTCTCTCACATCACATAAAGAAAAAACAAAGTATTCAGCATAAAATCCTGCCCAGCTGATCAATAGCAAAATTTTGGGGTCCTGATAGATCACAGATTCAATATAAGCAAAAGATGTGATGCTGCAAAGAGGTAAATGAGATTTTGGGCCGCATCTACAGATGTAAGGTATGGTAGGTGGTAGTGCCTCTACTCGGCATTGGTTGGGCCTCCTCTAGAATAATTGTGTGCATATTGCCAAAAAAGGCTAATTTAAACCATTCCATTCAACTATTCCTAGCATAGACTTTTACTTTTTAGCTCCCCACCACAACCACTGCAATGTTTCTAGGAAGCAAATATTTGCATTACATTAAATATTCAATATGAGAGTAGTTGGCCAAGTGTCAGGAAATCGATAGCTTCACATATTTATGACTGAGCCTTCTCCACATGAAAGGCTCTATCCTGAGATACAAACTCTTTCTTCCAATTAGGAAGTGTAGTTCAGGAAGCAACTTCATTTTAAAACAATCATCTATACAATATTCTTTTAAAAATTCTATCTCTAAGGCCTGAGAAAGCAAAGCATTTTTTACCAAATGATTCTTCAAAGGCTGGGGCCCCAATCTGAAGTAAGCAGCATACCTGAGACATTTCACTGTGCTTTAGTCCTTCCCTTATTTTGCTGCTTTTAAAATCAGCAAGGAAGTTCTTCTGTCAATTTTCATGATACCATTGACAGGATCTACCTGACCTGGGAATGGCTCATTCTCAAAAACCAGAAGCCCCCAAATTTGTGAAACATAATGTTAAACCACTGTGTATTTTTGTTTAGACCTCTGCTTATATTGCAGTTAAATTTATTTTTCTTTGGTTGGTAATGTGTGTCATTTTGTGTTAAACTCTCGCCCCACTGAAGCATGAAGTGTTGATCAGGGAGCTGGAAGGTTAAACCCTGTCATTTACCAGGAATAACTAAAGTAATCTGTTACAAAACTCTGTTTTGTATCTGGAGCACATATAAAAAGAGAGACAGGAGGGTATGTACAACCTTGCATATTGTACCAAGGGACCATTTTATTTACATAAATACATTAATGGGCATCTGCAAAATTACCAAGGTTCGAGTACTGCACAATTACAGGTTGTTTGGGAAATCACCTTGATCATTAAAAACTAGTTGGGTGGGATTCTGTCATAGTCATTCCAGATGAGCAGGGCAGTAAATACACACGAAAAATGCACAGCAGCCTTTCAAATAAAAAAAGTAGAATTTGTGAGGTTTTTTCTTTGTGCAAGCTATTTACAATGTTATGGCTACTGTCTGTGGGTACAGTTTTAATAAATGAGTATCTTTGGAGAAATATAAACAAGAGGCATATTGTAAGAAGCTACCGTATACATCAATCACATGAGAGGAAACAGAAATTCAGTCAACAGCATATAATTTACATATATACCACTTAGTTATAAAACAAAATTTACACCTACTATTTCCATCTGATTAAATTTAATCAAGCATTTACATGAAACACCCTATCCTCCACTCCTTAATATGTCAAAATTATCATTGTATACTTTAACAGAACTTCTCTCAGCGTACAATTCAAGGAAAAAGACCAATTTACGTCCTGTAATCACAGAAATTCTGAAATATTTAGTGAAGCAGGGCCTAATGTTATAAGGCCAAGTTTACCGAATTTCAGTGTGAAATCACACAGGGACAACAGATGGTGGAGTTATGCAGTAGAACCCAGATCATTTATATCAGGTAGGCTGCTGAATTAAGCACCAGCCATATAGCTCTTTACCATTGCTTTACAGGGTGCCACTTCTCAGATCAGCTGGACCTCATCAGCAGTCCCACAAAGATGATTGGAGAAACGGCACCCTTTCAAATAAAAGCTGCAGCAAATGATTGCAGAACCTCAGTGGTCTGGCACAAAGGTTGGCAGGGACTCTGTATACCCCTCGATATTCCACAAATGATCATGGCTAGGATCCAGAATGACCTGGATAGGCTAGAGAAATGGTCTGTAATCAACTGGATGTGATTCAACAAGGGCAAGTGCAAATTCCTACATTTAAGGACAGAATAAAATGCATGCACAAAAAAAAATGGGGAATGGCTGTCCAGGCTGCAGGACTGCAAAGAAGGACGTGAGGGTTACAGGAGACAAAAAGCTGAGCATAACCCAACAGCATATTTTTATTGCAAAAAAAGCCAACAGAATATTGGTCATATTAACAGGAGTGTCACTTGCAAATCAACGGAAGTGATTCTTCCACTCTATTCACCATTGGTGAGGCCTCATTTGGAGTCCTGTGTCCAGTTTTGAACCCCACACTTCAAGAAGGATGTGAACAGTTTGGAAAGAGTCCAGTACATAGCAACAAATATTAGGGGTCTGGGGGGCAAGACTTATGAGGAAAGGCTAAAAGAACTAGTATTATTTAGTTTGGAGGAGAGAAGATGGAGTAAGATTTGATGTCTTTAAATACCTAAAGGACTGCACCTGTCTGGTCTTGAACATCCGGACGCGCACTGCACGGACCCAGATGTTCGGGGGTGTTCGTCTGTCCGTCCCTGCTGTCCCGCCAAGTGCATGTCTGTCTCCTGTGTAGTCTCTCCCCAGTCTCGCCTGCCATGACTTCGGATCTTGTTCCAGTAGTGGATGTCCAACTACCAGGGGTCTCTCAACTATAGGACAGCTGAATGGCGATCTTCCACGAGGCTCCACCTCCCCTCTATCTCGCCTTTACACCCTGTCTTGACAGGTTCATGATGTCCTTCCACCAGTTCCCCCGACTGTTGGGGCTCTACGTATGCTCACTGGGATGGTTATCAGCCTGCTGGGCCTAACCCTAACTCCGCCCACAGCGCATAACCCCTGCCTTGCCTCCCAGGGGATAGTAACCCCTTTAGGCCTAAGCAACACTTGGGCTCTAGACGCCTCGCACCGCAACCGCTTCAAAAGTGGGAAACCAAAGAAAAAT